TTTACGATGATGAGAAACCGTTTTCGAAAATTTTCAGGAAAAAAGGAAATACAACATCCTCTAAACGTGATATTATACTTATTTTTCATGTGCTTTTAAAATTCACTGGAATTCTAATTAAATTACTTTCTTTTAAACCAACGGATTATCAATATTTTTTTTTTTAAAAGAACTAAAACGTAAAAAAGATGCATAAGAAAATTAAAAAGTTTAAAAACGATTCTTGATATTAAAATAAATTTTTTTTTATAAATATCCCGACAATACTGTTGTATAATCGTATATTTGCAAGTCATATATATATTTTCCGTTTTTTTTTTAACTCCATTATTGTATTATCAAAAGTGATTCTACAAAATGCTGAATATACCTGGAATCATCTGCAAAAACAAATTCTCAAGAACTTTACATCACCAGTCGCGTATATAAACGAACCACCTGTAGAGTATATTCCCAAAGACACACTATACATGGGCGCACGACCAAGAGAGTCGACAACTCCGTAATTTACTTACTTGCAGAACAAACTTTCGTGGAAGAGATTATTGAATTCACAAAGAAGGCAAAGAGAGAATAAGATGATATACTTTAGCGCCAGTATTTATAAAACCCCCAAAAAAATCCTATAAATATCAAAAAAAAAATTCCTTCCAAATTATAATCAGTTGACAATGTTTTATCATATTTTCCTACCTCAGCTGCTTGTGTAATCTTGAATGAAAAAAAGCTTTTATGAGTATAGGATTTATAACAAACTTAAAGTTATAAATTTTCAGGGTTTTACATCTTTCTTTCTCGAGGTTATGAAATCCTATATCGCTATATTTGGAGTATTTTATTTTTAGAAATGATTAATACTCGCAGGTGTTATAATTGTTACATAAAATGACAAGTCAATATATAAATATAGTACCACAGTTTTTATATACAAGATAAAGAAAAGAAAGCCAGTGACTGATTAGATCTGACCAGAGATGCCTGGAATGACCCTCGTAAATCTATACTCCCGCAGCAAAAAAAAGTGTTGTAGCTGAGGAAGAAAAAAAAGGAAGATGATATACGAGATGAATAATTTAATAATATAAGAGTCAAACTAGTTTCAGGAAGTTGTAAATGGTTTTAATTAGAACGATCATAATCCGTATTTATGAGAATCTGACGAAGTACAGGAATTCCAAAATTCGAACCTTCAAATCGGTTTAGATTTTCAAGTGAAAAAAAGGCAATCTAATTCCACATGTTCATTTCATTCCGTGATTAAAATATAACAAAAAAAAAAAAGGAATTTTGATTCTCTTGAATTTGAATTGCCTAGAGCTTTCTTTTATCATCAAGTATTATTAAAATTGCATTCCTGGAGAAGTACCTCGAGTATCGTATAATCTGAACACCTGGCCAATCGACCGAAAACCGACAAGTCAAACCCTAGAGAGTCTAGACTTGAGACGATGAGTATATATGTGAGAATCGAGAAGAGATCCGAAGAATTCTAACATACACACATAGTATATAGCAATTTAGCAGAGAACCAAGACCCGCAGGGTGAGCCAGTTGGCTTGTGGCCGTGTGGGTCGTTTCGAACGTATATGGCTGTTTGAGAAAAAGAGAAAGAACAACTCGAAGAGAGAAGGAGAAAGAGCAACGGCTTCTCGAACAAAATTTTTGGGAGGGTTGCAGGAGGGCCAGGGTAGCCATAAGTTCTTGGAAAAAGTTGCTCTTACCCAGAGTATATAACGATTTGAGAGCCCTGCAATGTTGGAGAAGAGCTCTCGGGAATAGGAAAAGGGTGGTAAACTCATACACACACACAAACACATTCACATATGTGATTCTTGGAACTATACAATACGAACATACATACCACACACTCCCTGGGTGCGAGATCGTGGTTCATAGGCGTGGCAAAGAACTTGGCTTCGTGAAACACACGACCTAAAATAAGAGGTCCCAGACCTCTCTCTCTCTCACTCTCGAAACTATATACTTTCTAGCGGTGGAATGAGTATATCGTTATTAAAAGCTGCGAAAAAGACACAACAAAAGGGTGTCGAGAATCCTCTTATATTATTCAACTCTTCACAAAAACTAAATTAACTCTGACAATAGTTTAAAGAAAAAAAACAGATTTGAAATCTCCGGAATTATAATTATTAAAAAGTAAATGAAACCTCGATCAATAATTGAGTTAATTTCATATATGATTATTTCAATTATTCAGTATTGAGGAAGGAATATTATTTAAAGTTGGTTCTTATCTCTCAGAAATGTATAATTATCATGGTGAAACCTTTTTTTTTCCGTGAGTGATGATTCCCTTAGTGTATTGTTCGAGAGAGTAAAAGAACCGATAACGATCTCATTCGATTTGAATAATAATGCGCTTCGTTGAAAACCACTTTAATTTCAAGTCTACCATAGCATAAAGAATCTCAGGTGTACATAAATGTGATTATGCAACTGTGGAACTTGTTTAACACGATCATCTACTTTTAGCCAAGATACTTGTATAATGCTTTAACCTAATTTTAGTAAGCAATATATAATATGTAATTCCAAGAATTAACAATAAAATTCAATTTAACATTTACCAATTTTCAATAAATTAACTCAATATTATAATTATATATTGTGTGTATAAAAAAAAATGAGTTTCAAATGGATTGGAAGCTGTTTTTAATGCGTCTATTGTAGCGGAGAATGATGATAAATTAAATGCACGCTTCGTTGAATTGACGATTCGCAATTAATTAAATTTTCCTCTTTTCACTTCAAATTCAATGGAGAGCTTAGTCACGTTTTTGCTTTGAAAGCTTTACACATTCTCCGAAAAGTCATTATTCCATACAACAATAAAATAATATTTGTTTTCATTCGTTGTATAATTAAATTTAAACTTGTTATATAGCAGATTATAATTAAATAAATACAATATTTGTAAAAACGCCTATTGTATACGGGACTTTTTGTAAAATTAATAACAACAATTACAATGCAGAAATAGATATGTAACATAGAATATTGTCAAATAATCAAATTGTCATTTAATTAACAATTCGGTAAATTACACAGGAGAAAAAAAGTTTTGTTTCAAACCCGAAAAGAAGCTAGTTTCAATATGGGACACAAACTAGACCGAATATAGTTTCTAACTCGCTCATAGCATAAGTCTTACTTTAAGCCTACCAATTTATTTTTGTATATAATTTATATATTTTTATATTTGTGAGAAAATTGTAATAAAATTATTTTGTATATAGAACATTCTTTTCACACTCATAACAATTAAAGCTGAATTTATAGGACACAAACAACAATTCATGATATGAAAATGTTTTATAAACATAGTTTTAAAATTTTTTATACAGGAATGAATATGTAAGTCTTTTGAATTAATTCTTTTAGTTCCGATTAACTATAGACGCATCACATTTTTGGAAAAGCGTCCATGACACTTTACAAAAGGGCACTTTCGTTGTACGACTAGTTACAACTGACTAGTATCTAGACCTCATGGGCCTGATTGAAGACTTTTAACGTCTCATTTCTAGCGAATAAAATTTTGCATTGAGTCCAAGACCACAAAGGCTTGTTTTGAATCTAATAGAACTAAATATTTGTCATATTAATATCTCGTTTTTCATTAAGACCTTAACGGCTTATTTTTAAACCATTAATTGTGATTGATATTAGTTATCAACTACTTTCTAATCAAAATTAAAAATTAGACTATGCTCGGAGTAAGACTTTTTTTTTCCTGTGTTGGTATTAGCATTTTGACAATTATGATTTTTATGGAATAATCATGTGCCTCTCATTTATATCAAAGTAATATTCATGCGTCTCAAATTTGTATGATAGCAAAAATTAAAAAATTAATTGAAAAACATTTAGATTTAATTGGAAAAATTTTACGATTAGAAAAATCATGATTTCATTGTCTTTTTTTTTTTTTTTAAAAAAAAAAGGAGTCGATCTTGATCATCGTCGTGAGTGGATCGAGATTCGATCGACTTTCACGACGGGACTACTAATTACGATGTTGATTGCCTCCCCTCTTTTGAAAGGCCCTCTTTTTGGACATGTTTAATTCCAAGGAAGGACATAAAGAAGCAACAAGGCGCCCTCGTGCTTTCAGTTTGAACAAAAAGTTAAATTAATTCCTCAATCCAGGCGAGTCTCTTTTATTTTCGTCTAGCGGCCCATCGAGAGAAGAGCGCGCAGTATATGTGTGCAGCAGCTGCTTCTCAGAAGGATCTTCCTCGGTCGGTAATCTCTTCAGCGAGAGAGAGAGCGGCGCGACGGTAAAGCTGTTCCTTCTTCTCCTCTATATCTTTTTATTATTTTACTGATTTCTACCCACCGGCGGCTATCTCGATGCAATTCGTCTGGCGTTTTATGTCTTCGAATTATAGACACACGATCGCAATTATTCCATTGGATCGATCGATTTTATAACTGCCTTATACGATTCAAAAGCCATCTCTGTAATTCAATCTTGGATGTTAAGCTGATTATAACCTGGCATTTAATATTAAAGTATGATAGAGGGTTGGTATATCATTTTTTTCTTCTTCAAGTATGTGCAAAATAAGCAGTTATTTTCCGATCAAGTTTTGATTAATATTTTTTTCTCCTTAAAAGTTTCGATTTTTTTTTTTTTCTGCAAATAAAAATATACGATATAAATACAGAAATTCGCTAATCACTATTCCAGGATTAAAAGATATATTCAACGAAGCATATACATATAAGCTTCAATTTACAATCTGATCTGATTTCCAGTGACTTTTGTCGAGGTGATTGCCTTTCGAGTAATGTCACTTTCCACGGACGGTTATCTCTCATATATGCTGAGGTTAGAATTTCTTATCATCACTGATATAATTCGTGTCAATATTTTACTTCATCAATTCGAAGAATTTTAACATTTCCCTAAGCGTGAAAATGATAAAAAAAAACCCCCCACCAAAAAATATATTGGATAATGATAAAGAAAATGGTATAATTGTAGAATATTTTTTTATTGTTCTATTACTATATAGCATTTTTTTTTTTTTTTTACAAAAATTTACATTTGCTTAATAGTAAAATGAAAACAAAGTTTACAATATTTTCTGTCTATGAGAGAAATTCTATTTTAAATAGAAAACAAATAGCAAAATAAAAATTCGTAGTACATATATTTTTTATGAAAAGAAAATTCTAAACTCGCGTCTACTTGACAGTATATTGAAAAGATATATGTTTAAAGGCATTGGAGCAGGACATTTGGCAATCGTTGTGCCAACACAAACCGCTGCTTTGTAAATAGGCCACTTTCGAAAGCAATGCAAAGTTCATACAGAGGTTAAAAGAGTCAACAATGAGTACGCGAATACAATAATTCATATGGCGTTGTTTGTCTAGCGAAGGAATGTGTATATAAACGAGAATGCAATTTATATTTCCAGTGCCGCAAGGAGGAAAAAAAAGAGAACCAAAAAAACTAAAATTTAAAAAAAAAAAAATTTCTCATTTTTTATCAGCAGATATAATAAGATTCATAATGTCCATTCGAACTTTCATTTTATTTGACACTTTTCTTAATGTTGGCAAAATACTCATGACAAAATGATAATCGTCATCTTCAATGATATCATTTGATTTTTTCTTGTTTGGTGAAGTATCTTCCATTTTAAGATCAGCTAATTTTGATGTTCTTTTTCTATTGGTCTCATTATCAGTGCAACCATATGCCAATGGATCGGAAAGAATCGAGAGTTTTCGCGGAACAATTTGAAAATTTCCAAATGTATAAGGAACATCACTAACATTATTTTCTTCATCATTAATCTTTTCTGTCGATGATGATTGTTTTATAATTAGAATATCGGATTGTTCAATAGTATCTTCATTTACTTCATCATCTGTTTCATCGATGAAACTTTTTCTTGCATCCATTGTATCCTTAAGAAATAACATTTTATCGAAATAAGGCCATTTTGATATGTACGGTTCGGATTCAGTTGATAATTTCAAAATTTTTCTCATTTCTCTTCTAAATGTATCACGTATACATGCCCACTTCTTTTTTAATTCCTCATCTAAAAGCAAAATTTTAAATTTAAATTACAGAAAAGAATTTTAATTGAAACATTTTTGATTTTGTATGTTTTTACATTATTTCGACATAACCTCAAAATAAATTTATTTTTAACTAAATTCTAGAAATATTAAACTGTTGTCCAAATTACTTATTTTCAACTAATTTAAATTTAGAATAAAGAATCTTAATATCACAATTTTTTGTATAATTTAAGAATATTAAATTGAGGTTATGTTGGAATAAATCAACTGATTTACAATTCAAAAAGATTGAACTTGAGAAAAGTAATTCTACACTAATGTTTCATAATGGCTTACCCGTCATATGAAACTCCGTAGCTAGTTCAATCCAAGCTTGATGCTTTTGCAGGCCACTACGATAATCTATATGCTTATGATTCCAGATAATGGGCCGTTCATACATCATACGTATAAGCTTATCCTTGTTGATTGACATTTTTTTTTTTGTTATTTAAATTTTATTATAAACTGCACTTAATAAACTTAATTTCAATTTTTAGAATATATTTCAACGGCGTCTGTTTTCTCCCTTGACACGTATACCGTGATAAAATACGTCACAACGTTTTCCACTAGCGTTTGGCGTCGTTGAGCGAGATCCGTATGCGACCCGACGCAATCCGAATGCCTACGGTTAGACCCGACGTTTTACGGTTTCGTTCGAGAAACCTCGAGTAGTCCCGAATCACGTGTACTTCCACACAAGTAAAATCACCACGATTGGCCGTAGCAAACAACAAACGGATACTGATTCCAATATATTATATATTGTATACGTATCAGAATCCATACGTTCTTGCGGAAGTGATCAGAGCTCACGTATCACTTGTTTAAAAATTCTTTGACATTGTTACCATAAAACGACAAAGTCGTGAAAAATACAATTATTTTAAATAAAAAAAGTTAATAATGGAGAACGCATGAATATTCCTTAAGAGACGTTTAAATACATTGTTTTTTTTTAAATTAAAATTTCAGTTTATAAAATTTTTAATCACTTGAATAAATGATTTTCTTTTCTTTTCTTAAACATTGAGGAAGAGAAACCTATTAAAGCTATAGCTGTCTTCTCTCGTTCAGAAGCGAATTATTAATTTATTGATTCAAATGAATATTTAATAAAACCATAATGCTTTACATTGGTTCAATATACTTTCATTTAGCGAAAGATAGTTGCAGTTAGACAAAATTCTGATAAAAGACACTTTGAGTTAGACATAACATTTCGGAATTTGTATTAAGCAGAACATTGAAGAATTCGACGAAAACCATTTGCAAATGGAAATCCCTAAAAACCACATGAATGTATTTCCTCAACTGCACTTGTTGATAACAAAAATAAACAGAATCTTTAATCAAAGTCTACAGTACAAATTTTCCCTATAGGCAATAAAATTGAAAAGGAAACAAAATTTTACAAATCCTTCTAATTTCACTGAAACTGAATTTAAAGCAAAGGAAAATTTAAACAAGATATTTCTATTGGATTTTATTTAGAAGAATTCTGTAGGCATCGACTCATAAAAATAGAAAGCACATCTTTTATATTGTCGTCATTGGTTCTTTGAGGGCATTCCTCTCCGATCTCATAACCTAACCTTACCTCACTCAACGTAATGCAGGATCGTATATACAATATATACATGCATATACATATATATATATCTGGAACTTGAATCGCTAAAGAACCTCTTTCTCTCTTCTAACTTATTCGCTATATAACGTCGACGTGGCGAATCGAAATTAATGCATCGCTTATATATCGTGGGTCGTTGACTGTTCCTAGAAATCTTACGGTACTCTATTAAAACACGAGTTGCGAGTAATGCAACTTTCGTGCTATAGGCGGAATTTGTTTGCATCCAGTGGCGGATATCGATTGGACTCGTTCCATTTATAACTTGGAAGCCAAGGTCTCCGTCTTTGAGGCCATCACGCTCTTTCTATAGAATCCACATTTCCTCACGCTTTTCATTTCCCCGATAGAAAATTTCAAATTTATTCATCCTAGATTCTCCTAATACATATACCCCTAAAAAATGTCATTAACGAAAAAAATTCTCAATTTAATAATGAGTCTATAATGAAATGTTCTTAAAAAGAATGTCTCATTTTCAAAAAGGAATCTTTCACATTTAATGTTTCGAAAGAAGAAAAAAAAAAAAAATTTCAACTTGAAAATAGTTATTTAAATTGATCAAAAGCTATTTAATTCTCAAGGTTTTTATACGATCACTGATGTCAGTTTAATTATTAATGACTTTTTCCATATATACTTGATGGAAGTTTAAATTAATCTCGATCATTTATATTGCTGGCTCTTTCAATTCTTTAAATATTTTCACATCACTTCTTCCTTTCAACTCACTCAAGTCATTAGTAATAAAACTCCTGGCCGAGTGAATGACCTCTGAAATCAAATTGATCTTTCACTATTTTAATGTGCAATCCTCCTTCTGTTTTTAATAAAATGTGATATTTTTCTCACTTGAAACAAAAACACATTAAAAAATGTCGAATTTTAATAATCATTAACATAATGTAAACTGTATTTGTAAACAAATGAAAATATTTTAAGTTTACACGTAATATGTTTACGTTAAATATGGTAAAGAATTATGCTTATTTCTTTTGTTTTCATAAATATTGTATATATATATATAATTATGAAAACATTTAGGAATAATTCGAAAACAAGTCTATCATAAGAATTTCATACGAGAATAATTTTCTAATTTTCAAAATTTGATTAAACAAAGAATAATAATTAAACTAATTTCATATATCAAAGAGGAATATTTGATTAAACAGTGTGAAAAGATAAAAGCTTCTTTCTCTCAAGGAAAGGTAAACTTTACAAGGCTTTTCGTTCCTTGTCTCTGAAATATTTATACAAAAGATGGGTATACTCTTCTGCAAAGGAAAAGAGGAATTATTACTCTCGTGTGGTCCTCTTTCTTTGCACTCTAACTACATGTTTCTCTGAAATCCACCTCTACAACTCTCTTTTCTCTTGGAATTACCGTAAAATAAGCATCACTGTTCCGCTTCTCAAACTTAAACTTGTTTGCAAATTTGTGCTAATACAACTGTAGATTTTAAATACCCCCTTTTTTTTCCTCAAATAAAATTATATTTTAAAAATAATCTATACGAAACTAACGACTTATTAAAAATAAAATTTTAAACTGTCTTAGAAAATAAATCTTGATTTGAATTTTAAATTATAAAAAGTTCAAACCAAAGATTTAGAAACCTTTTTATTTAACATATAACTGATTTTTGTAATTCTTAGAATGAATATAGAAACAACTGTGTATGAGACACATCTGTAGAAAAAAATAAAAAATCTGAACAGCAAACATATATATATATATATATATAAGTTAGATTTCCTCTTGTTGGAAAACACTTTTATCATTATGTGAGAATATGTAAAGCAATCTGTGAATGAATTTCATTGTTTCAATCGAAATAAAAGAATGATTGTTAAAAATAAAACGCAGGAAATTAACAGAGAAGATAATTCACTCTTTTACCGAGAACAATGAAAAATACTATGATTTTTCTGAAAATAGATTATAGAATGCTTTTTCAAATAACTTTTAGGATGACGAGAATAAATTCATCATGATTTTTTTTCTAAGAAACAAAAGAAGATTTAAGACAATGAATTTTTTTTTTTTTTTAAAGTTTAGTAACCTTGATATAGTGCATTTGTTTACGAATGCCATTGTTTGTGAGATACGAAAAACGTCAAAAGTATCACTATTTTTGTAGTGCATAAAATAATTTTTATAATTAAAATTATATGATTTAAAAATTCACCTTTTATCTCTCCTTGAATTTTTTAGTTTTTAGCTCCAATTTACAACAGTGGAAAACACACAGAAATATTCGGCACAACGCGTATCCTCCATTTAAAGCTTGGTTTCGCGGATCCCGCGAATATCCGGCTATTATAATAAACGACACACTCGATATTTTAATTTAACGATGAAATTTGTTGTTTTGCTAATAAGTCCTCAAGTGTAATCACTCGCGCAAGGATTAAATTGTCCTTTGAGTAAATCAACAGGCAAAAATTGATTAAAATGTGGCAAAACGCCAGACGATCGCTCTGGCGTCTCGAGAAAACTAGAGAATCGAGCTCATGACATTTGTTTTCATTTTATACCGACTGGTGGCGGTAGTAAGAGTTATTTCAACTCTTTAAAACTTCCTTTTGGTAACTTCAAATATTTTTCAACATTTTTTTTTTTTTCAAATTTAAGGTTTTAATATTTATGACATTTACTAAATTTCATTTATTTTAATTAATAAAATTAATTATGATTGTATTTTGAAAGAATTTGTTATAAATAAAATAATAATTATTCATAATAAATAACTAATATTAATTAAGAATAATTTATCAAATTAAATATATTTAGCTCATTTTAGAATTTCAAAAATATTTTCAATTTTTCAAATTATAGCCTGACATTAAAAATATTTCTGAATTAAAAAATCTTGCAAAAGATATTAATTATAATAAATTATTCTAAAGTATTTTTTAATTTATGCAAAAAAAAAAATTAAAAGACAAATGTAATGCAACAACGTGGGAGAGGAGTAAATATATATTTAAAAATTTCCGAGTTTTCTATTCCCCCCACACACATCATTGGACAGATGGTCGAAATTACACAGAGGAAGATTAATATTCCTATCTCACATGGTGGTAGGAATTTTCTCCAATAGTCAATCGAAAGATATTAATAAATTTATATGAGGGTGCGGTGAACAGGTTTGACTCATCGAACCCAGAAGAAGAATACAAAATTTCGTTGTTGATGATCTAAAAAAAAAAACTGAAAAATTAACTGCGAGAAAAAGAGATCGTAAATCTTAAATCCTTGAAGAATCAGAAATAGTTTTTTTTAAGCTACTCCTCTTATACTTATAATCCCTTTCTTTACGCTCATTCTTTTTGATTGTCTCTAATTCAACTAGACCAGCTCCTGGAATTTCATATCTCTTTTATATATTTCAAAAAAAAAAAAGCCATCCTGCTGAGAATAATATTATTTTCGAGAGGGATCTATTTTTAGAAATATCTTCGTGATTTTCTTTCACGACGAAAACATACTATATTTATATATTCCGTCTTCTCGTGGACTCTTGCGTCAAATTCAGGACGTCTGACAATCGGACCATATACGGTTTCAGATGATTCACGATTCCTTTAACAAAGTTTTTGATTCGGCATGGTCAACATGAATACGAAAACCCGTATACTTCAACACATATAATTCTTGTTTCAAAAAGATATATAGTACGCAAAGCACGTCTATCGTGTAAGAGGAAGTTGCATTCCACGAAGCACGTCGATGAAATAAGCGTTGCGCGCGTATAGTACGAAATGACATATGTGTGCAAGAGAGGCGAGTGATAAAAAAAAAAAAAAATGAATATATAAAATGGAAAAGTGGAATAAGCCATAAGCATCAGTATAGTCTCAATTTCATTGTGACAATTTATGTAAGCACATATGCGATGGGCATCAGCGTGACATAAACGAGAATTAGTATTATTCCCTGACTTTTATATTCTCCTCTTTTAACTTTAACAACTTCTACTTTGAAATTCTCGCTCATAGTCGAGTCGTCGATTTCAAATACAAAGGTAATATGTACCTTTCCATTTTATGAGATATATTTACCACATACATATTCACATTGTTACATATAATTTACATTTTTCCAATATAGTAGAAAGTATATATATTTGTGCTTGTTCATCATTTGTTAAAAATTATTTACTTTAAGTGATTTCAAAAATTATTCAATTATTGTGAAAGTCTTTTAAAATAGCAGTAAAAATTTTTCAATTTTTATTTTAAATATAAACGGTATATTACCTATTATTTATATTGTCCTAATGATTATGAAATTCCATTGAAAAATCCTTGAATTTGCAAATTTTTCCACAATTGTAGAATAATCCTGATAAAATAGAATGTACAGTGAGTAAATAGAGAAATAATATTTTGGTAAAAACAACAAGGTATATTTTTATGAAAAATATTGATCCATCAGAATGGAATTGCAGTAATAATATACGCCATATTACTGTAAAAATTTTCAACCAACACTCAGAAATCGACAACAACTATATATATATACAACCCTGACAGAGATCAAATAATATTTTAACAAACAGATCTATTTTACGAGCGAAACGAGAAAAATGGAAAATTTGCACCTTATCGATATAGAAACAGTTATACATAAATATACACAAGGTGAAACAAATAAATCTGATGTGGTAAAAAAAAAGGGGAAAAATCTCAAACTGACAAAGTGGATAACACCATCAGAAATCAAAAATTTGAAAAATTATTGACTTTCGATGAGAACAAAAATTAATAAATACCTTTATAAACCTGAAAGAAAAAATTAATATCATCCTGCTCTAATTTTTAAATACATGGTTAATTAAATTAAGAAAATAATGAATAGATTAAAAATATACAATTAGTTAAAAGCAAAATGTAAAGACTTTAAAAAATTAATTTTAAATAAATTTAAATAAAATATAATATAAAAATTCTGTAATTATACGAATGCATGCAAAATAAAAAAGAACTTCAAAATAATTCAGCAAACAAAATGTAAAGATAAAAAAGTTATATCATTATTAAAAAAAAAAGTATTTTCTTGGCTTTAAAATTCAGCGAATTTGAAGTACTTTTAAAATTTATGTGTTTACTTATTGATAATTCAAATTTGATTACACGAGAACCAAGAAAAGATTCCTAATCTAAACATTGAAAACAAAAAATATCCACTCACTAATAAAATCAATTTTTTAATTTCTTATACAATTTTTATCAATTGATTTAATTAGCGGTCAATAAGAGATTTTTCAAGTTTATTACAACCTGTTCTAGCCACAACTCTAGAGACAGGAGGGACTCACCAATGCTGAATATTCTCGTCGCAGAAACTAAAAATCGTCCCATCTCGATCAGTGCCTCTCCAAATCATCCTTTCTGTCCTTCAATCCTGAAAAAGCTCCTTAGTTGAAATAGATCGATGCCTGATGGGAATCCTTCCAAATTCAATCTTCAATACGACACTGATTTAAATTTTCAAAAATTTTTCAAAACACTGTTTATAAATTAAAAAAATCTATAGAAAAAAATATTTAATGACCCGCACTGACTCTAATTTTAATTCAATTACTATTTTTATTTATAAACCGCATTGACTCTAACTAGTTCAAAAAAAGGAATCGATTTAATTTGTCAGAATTGTTCCTCTACTTAAAATTTTTTTGTTTTTTCTTGTTAGGTGACGAATTGAAGTCTTTGTTTCCTTTAATGATCCTAAAAGAATACAATTAGTTAATAAAAACAAAAAAATTAGAGAAATTATTATTTTATATCAAAAAGCAGTAATTTTTTCTTATTTGTTTATAAAATCTTTTAGTTCCAAATATACAAAAAAATTTAATGTAATATTCAAATATGAGTTTAAGAGCAGAAAAGACAACACACAAAATTGAAGTTCCCTATAATCATACACATAGGCGTCTCCTCAGTTCAGGTATAGGGAGTTCCCCTCTTTTTCTATATACTAAATTGTGTGTATATTGTTATTTTTCTCTCTAAATATAGAATTTATTTTATTTATAAGATTGAATTTAATTTAATAATACTTACCAAATTGCTACATTTGATAGTTAAAGTGATTTTCTTTTAGCCAAGTAACTCTGGGGAATTGTGTATGTGGACTTCGATTTAAATTTTCATTTGAAAAACAATCCTTCAAGGAAATATACTTATTTTGAATTTTTTCGACCTTTTTTTGTTTAGAGATATTAATTTTTATTGAATACCAGGAAAGCTGAAAAAAAGTAATTTTTATTCAAAATAATAGGTAACTTTAATTTTAATGTTATTTAAAAAAAATACAATTTGTAATTAAATTTATATAAATAAAATAATTTGTTTTAAAATTAAAGAAAGAGAATTTTGACTACTTCTGTATTTCTTTGAAGCATTAGTTTTATTAAATGATGAATACATATTAAAAAAAAAAATAAAAAGCACTCACCACTTGCTGATTTTATCAAAGAGGCACAGGAAGATCGAATTTAATTTAATAATACTTACCAAATTGCCACATTTGATAGTTAAAGTGATTTTCTTTTAGCCAAGTAACTCTTGGGAATTGTGTATGTGGACTTCGATTTAAATTTTCATGTAGAAAACATTTGAAAAACAATCCTTCAAGAAAATAAACTTTTTAAAATTATAATTTTTTTCCAATTGTTGTGATTTATTCTTAAGAGTTCACCATATGTTATTATTTTTTTTTAATAACAGCCAAGAATCTAAAAAATATATATTTATATTTATTAAAAAAAAAAAATTCGTTGACTTTATTGAAATAGAAAATTGTGGAAAAATAATAATTCGCAATGATGTTGACATTAATAAAATAATTACATACAGATATTTGATACAAAATCTTGAAAAAAAATAAATATTAAATACCTTTTTGAGTTTACTGAAAATTATCTGGATTGTGTGCTTTGAAATTTCTGATGGCACGCTGTGACAAGAACTCAAAAAATATTTTGCTGTTTGAACTTTATACTCTTGATTTATAAAATATATCAGAACGTTCTGCTCCCAAAGAAATGCTTGAAATTATATATGTTCACCTAAATAAAGAAAACAAATTTAGATTATTTATAGACAATGAATGCAATTGATTTCTTGAAATTTGTGGGCGAAAAGGTGTTTTTTTTAAGGTTATATTGCCACTAGCTTTCAACTTTGTATAGATCTTTTTTATATGAATTAAGAGAATAGATAGGAACAATTATCTTCCTTTTAAATAAAAATTCTGTCGAAATTTTGTGTAAATTACTAACTAGTGGACGAAAAATTCACTCAATTCTGAATGAAGTAAAATATTACGAGTTACACACCGACACTGTCATCACTACTATATTTATACATCATCGTTTTAGATTTCCCCTTTTATTATCTTTAATATTTTACCCCAAATTTTCAATAACACTTTTATATAATAAGCAAAATGTAGCACTATTATTTAATGATGTACTTATTTAAAACAAAAAATCTTTTAATAATTACATGCCATGACATTGTTGCCACAATGGCGGATAGTATGGTACAAGGGGCTGAGGAGTGGGAGGGGGGGGGAATAATTGTAGATAAGTTGTAATATTGGTGGAATCGAAGGAAAATCAATAATTAAACATAGATAATGGTATTTTAAGAGGTTGTAACATGACAATTATGTTATTTGAGGCAGTTATATATAAATGGATAAAAATTATGCAAAGACAGAATCAGACAGAGGGGTCAACGACATCAATCACATACTTTTTTACCAATTATTAACATGTTTTGATAAAAAATTTTTAGAAAATATTGTTCCCCTCGACAAAAATAACAGTTAATACATAAAATATAATCAAAAAATGAGAAAACATTACCATTTTGATGTGTAAATGCGAGAAGGACGCTGCAGAGGATAACCGCCACTTGAAGAAACTGCTATATCCAAATGAACAACTAAACAGCCATTGCTCTGATTCGTGGACAAGTTATGTCTCAAAAAATAAATTATAAATAATTATAGTCGCTAATTAAATTACACTTACATATTAAATGATTTTCATTATTATTATTATCTCTATTATCTTTTATATTAGCAAAATTATACTAATTCATGTTTCGAATTTATTATTATGTGAATTGCGATTTTGACTAGTGATATCAATTTACCCTTTACTTCCGGTTGAGCAAAAGGAACGATTATAAATTATTTTTAAGCAGAGTTAATTTATTTATGTTTCTTTTAGTATAAAGTGCTATATTATTTTCTGAATAAAAGATAAATAAAAGATGATATAATCACACAAATTTTTTAATTACTATATGTAATTATAATTTAATAAGTATTTAAAACTAATTTATTATCTAGAATTTGAAATTGAAATTTCCACCAATCAGAAAATTGCATTTACATTTTAACCAATAACAGTAAAGGACACCAGCAGTCGCTGCAGTCGTTCATTCTCCTGGGAAGTGGTGGTCGAAAATGGCGGTTATCCTCTAGTGTCCTCATTTTTACATCAAAAAGGTAATATTTTCTAATTTTTTAATAAGATTATGTATATTAACTGATGTTCCTATCGAGTGGAACAATATTTTATAAAAATTTTGATCAAAACGAGTCAATAATTGATAAAAAGTATGTGATTTATGTCATTAACCCCTGATTGCTCGTGACAATTTTTTTCATATAATTTTTATCTATTATGTTAATTGCTTAAAATAGCAATTTTTATGTTCATATAACCATTTAAAATACCATTATCTATATTTAATTAACGATTTTTCATTTGATTCCGCCTTTTATTACAATTCAGCAAATATTTCCCCCTCCCCTGCACCATCTTGTTTCATTCTTTTGCCGCCATTGTGGCAACAAAATGTCAACACGAAATTATTGAAAGATTTTTTTAAATAAATACAAGTTAAAATAATAGTGGTGAATTTTCCTTGTATTATTAAAGTGTTATAAAAAATTTGGTTCGAGAATTAAGAGGGAATCTGAAAAGATGATATATATATATCATCTTTTCATAAAATCGCAATGATGTCGCGCTGTCGGTGTGTAGCTCTATTTATTTTACTTTATTCAGTGAATTTTTTGTCTTGTGGTTTGTTGTTTTCACAAAATTTCGACAGAATTTTTATTTAAAACGGAGATAATTGTTTCTACTTGTATTTTATTAATTCGTATAAGAAAATATTATTGAAACAGTTGAAAGCAAGAGTCAACATAACCTAAAAAACCATATCTTTTCGCCCACAACATATTGCAAGAAATCAATTACATCCATTGTCTAAATCATCTAAAATGACTTTATTTATTCAGGTGAATATAAATTGAAGTAATTTTTTTGGGAGAAGAATATGCAGATATAGTACTGAGTCGAGGGTTTCAAGACTAAACAGTAGCAAATTTATTCCATTCTAACTGCAGTGTGTCATCAGAAATTTCAAAGCACACAATCCGGATAATTTTCAGCAGACTCGAAAAGGTATTAAATACATTTATTTTTTTAATAAAGTACTTATAAATATTGTAAACATTCTTCCTAAATGAAACAAAAAATAATTGTTTTAATTACTGGTGTAGAATAATTCCAATTTAATATAATTTTAAATTTTGTATTCACTGAAAAAAAATTCTAGTTAGAATAACCAGAATTCTAGTTAGAATAACCAGAATTCTGGTTAGGGTATATTTAACATTTTGATTCTGGTTAGGTTAACCAGAATTCTGGTTATTTTAACGAGAATTCTAGTTAATTCAACTAGAATTCTGGTTAACATAACTAGAAAGTAATGTTAAATATAGCCTAACCAGAATTTTTTTTCAGTGTTCTTATGAAAAAGTTAAATCATTTTTAATTTACATATTTCTACATTCAATTTAAGATTTAATCTTTTTTTCAATTGCATCAATACTTTTATTTAGCAATTAATATATTTTCTATTTTATTCATTTGTCAGTTTAAATTATTTTAATTTATTGTGTATTATTATGTATGTATTATTTTTGAAAATTGCTTTTTAAAACTAGTTTTTTTTTTTTTTTTAGTAATTTTAAGTATTATTATTACTTTATTATTTTGTTTATTATTTGTTTTAATTTTTCAGCTGTTATTAAGAAAATTGGAAAAATATACAGTAGAAAAAGAGTTTCTTCATAAAAGTATCATCCTGTGCCTCTTTGATAAAATCAGCAATTGGTGAGTGCTTTTTATTTTTTTTTTTAATATGTATTCATCATTTACTAAAACTAATGCTTCAAAGAAATACAGAAGTAGTCAAAATTCTCTTTCTTTAATTTTAAAACAAATTATTTTATTTATATAAATTTAATTACAAATTGTATTTTTTTTAAAAAACATTAAAATTAAAGTTACCTATTATTTTGAATAAAAATTAATTTTTTTCAGCTTTCCTGGTGTTCAATAAAAATTAATATCTCTAAACAAAAAAATGTCGAAAAAATTCAAAATAAGTATATTTTCTTGAAGGATTGTTTTTCAAATGAAAATTTAAATCGAAGTCCACATACACAATTCCCCAGAGTTACTTGGCTAAAAGAAAATCACTTTAACTATCAAATGTGGCAATTTGGTAAGTATTATTAAATTAAATTCAATCTTATAAATAAAATAAATTCTATATTTAGAGAGAAAAATAACAATATACACACAATTTAGTATATAGAAAAAGAGGGGAACTCCCTATACCTGAGACGCCTATGTGTATGATTATAGGGAACTTCAATTTTGTGTGTTGTCCTTTCTGCTCTTAAACTCATATTTGAATATTGCATTAAATTTTTTTGTATATTTGGAACTAAAAGATTTTATAAACAAATAAGAAAAAATTACTACTTTTTGATATAAAATAATAATTTCTCTAATTTTTTTGTTTTTATTAACTAATTGTATTCTTTTAGGATCATTAAAGAAAACAAAGACTTCAATTCGTCACCTAACAAGAAAAAACAAAAAAAATTTTAAGTAGAGGAACAATTCTGACAAATTAAATCGATTCATTTTTAGAACTAGTTAGAGTCAATGCGGTTTATAAATAAAAATAGTAATTGAATTAAAATTAGAGTCAGTGCGGGTCATTAAATATTTTTATTCTATTATAGATTTTTTTAATTTATAAACAGTGTTTTGAAAAAATTTTTTAAATTTAAATCAGTGTCGTATTGAAAATTGAATTTGGAAGGATTCCCATCAGGCATCGATCTATTCCAACTAAGGAGCTTTTTCAGGATTGAAGGACAGAAAGGATGATTTGGAGAGGCACTTATCCTGATGGGGCGATTTTTAGATTCTGCGACGAGAATATTCAGCATCGGTGAGTCCCTCCTGTCTCTATAGAGATGTGGCCAGAACAGGTTGTAATAAACTTGAAAAATCTCTTATTGATCACTAATTAAATCAATTGATAAAAATTGTATTAAAAATTAAAAAATTTGATTTTATTAGTGAGTGGATGTTTTTGTTGTTTTCAATGTTTAGATCAGGAATCTTTTCTTGGTTCTCGTGTAATCAAATTTGAATTATTAATAAATAAACGCTTATAAATTTTAAAAGTTTTTTCAAATTCGCTGAATTTTAAAGCCAAGAAAAGACTTTTTTAATAATGATACAACATTTTTGTCTTTTCATTTGTTTTTTGGAGTTTTAAACATTTTTGTTTTTATATTTGCAAAAATATTATTTTCTACTGATTGTACATTTAATTACAATCAATTTTTTGTATTTGTAATTTTTAAATTTTTGAAAAAAAGTTTAAATTATTATTTTAAATCTTTATATTTTGTTTTTAATTAATTATAAATGTTCACTTTTTTCTTAACTTAATTAAATGTTTGTGTAAAAATTATAGAGCAGGATGTTATTAATTTTTTCTTTCAGGTTTATTAAGGTATTTATTAATATTTGTTCTCATTGGAAGTCAATAATTTTTCAAATTTTTTTTTTTTTTTTTTGATTTCTGATGATTTTATCCACTTTGTCAGTTTGAGATTTTTCCCCTTTTTTTTACCACATCAGATTTATTTGTTTTATCTTTTATATATTTATGAAACTGTTTTTATATCGATAAGAAGAATATTTATCATTTTTAGTCGTTTTCCTCGTAATTTCCTCATTGTTAAAATTTCTTGGATTGTTATCAGGGGTTTTTTTTCATTGATGTCGATTTTTGAGTCTTAGAAAATTTTACAGTAATTTTTGCGTATTGTTATTGCAATTCCATTCTGATGGATCTATATTTTTTTAAAAAATATCCCAACATTAAAATGGAAAATATAACTAATAATTTATAGTTTTTACTATTACAATCAAATCGTTGTACTCTTTAAAATGCAATTCATTCCTTAATAATATACTATTATTCTTTTCTCTTGATTGACCTCTGACTTAAAAAGCCATAGGATGGTCACAATGCGACTCTTACACGCCTCTCGATTCCCGGAAAGGTTCGAAGTAAGGCCGTCATTTACAGAAAAAAAAAATATTTTTATCTAATGCAATCTTTTTTTTTTTTTTATTTATATAATGTACATTTATCTTATAAAAAATTATTTATGAAATATTTGATTTTAAATAAATTATTTAATAATTATGATATTTGCATAATTTATAAAATTATTTTTCTTTTTTCTATTTTGCAAAAAAAAAAAAAAAAATATATATCTCTTGTAATTATCAAATTATTAAGTCGTTGGTTTGATTACTATGAATTATGAGGTTCTTACACCATTTGAATTTTTATTAGTCATTTAGAATGCATGAAGGATATAATTTTTTTTGTTAATATTCAATTCGCAGAATAGGAATTATAATTAATTTTGCAATCAATTTTCTATAGCAATAATTTTGCAATTAAATTTTTCTAATGAAAAAAATTGAGAATTAAAAAAATTTTTTTTTTAGAAAATTAATAACTTTTGAAATCTGTATCTTTATTGGTATTTGTGTTGATTGCGATGAAAGTAAATGAGAAACTGAGACACACGCTAAGCTATTAAACGGTGTGTTACCCTTTAAGAAGAGTATATATGAAATATACTGTGTGTGCTAATTTTATATTCAATACGAGTGACGTCATTGAGAAGCCTATTTTGGCAGTCTCTTCTAAGAAAACGGTAACGATAGCAGGATATGCGCAAAAGTTGAGCGTGACGATTTCAATGAGGAAAATTTTCGTGAAAGCCAAGTTCTCAATTCAAATTGATATTTATCATAAATATCGACACGAAATTCTTTCACTATATTTGAATTTTTCATTTTATTTATTTCGTTGAATTTCCACTAAATGGAATTTTTTTTTGTCGATATGTGGAAATAAAAAATGTCGATATTTCATAAAGTTTGAAAAAATTGATTATTCTTTTGAAATTATTGTAAGAAGTTTTGCAGCTTCTCAAGGTGACATTTTTCAATGTAAAGTGAGCCAGACACGCGATTGGGAATTTCTTTTGAGGGTCGGGCTCTTTCAATACCAGCACTATGCTTCTTTATCAGAGAGATTCCTTGTATGAAACCCAGCATCTGTCCCTGGCTTTATAACAAATTTCTCAGAAGTCGGAAACCGGAGACTATATGCGAACTTTATTCAAATTAATCCCGCATCCGCCACCATCAGGCGAAACATACCTGTAATTATTTTACCAAGTTATTGTTATTATTTTATTATTTAAAGCGGAAAATTATTATATAGTCGTTGAAGTATATACAAATGTTCTATATAATTTATATGTTTTATTGTACTGCATATATAGTCGCCTCTCAATTGTTTCAATTTCTTTGTTGAATCACAATAGCTTTCCGGTGCAAATTTTTCTTTCTCCATTGTCACTTAATTAATTTCCGCTGAAGAATATGACAAATTCAAATTCATTACTATTTCAATGTTTCTCTATAAAGCAATTGGTCAGCTTTTTCTTCTTCGCATTATTATTTTAATCTTATGATTACAATTAAAAAATTATTTGATTTTTCATGTTCCATCATTGGTATTTATTCGTAGAATATAAAAAGAAAAAAAAAACTTGTAAAATTATAATATATTTCCTATATAGCTCCTGGAATTTAATCAAAACGATGAATCTTGAATATAAGAAAGATTTATTTATACCACGCGAGTGCTAATGTGCATTCGTACGACATTATGTTTCACGCACAAATGTGATTATTAGTTTAACTTAATTTTGATTAACAACACACAGGTATCGAAATTCGGTAGTCTCTCTCTCTCTCTGTCGTCTTTCAAAACCCCCAAGAGGATTAGGGCGTGACGTTACGCCTTTTACAGGTAGCTACTTTTTCGAAGAACAACCTATTCCGGTCAAGAATTATGATAATTTTATGCTAATTTTATTAAAGTATCTTTTCAGTTTCATTTTTGCCACTAGCGCACATATCTTTGATATTCTTAAGATATAAATGCAAAATACAGATCTGAATTATAATCTATAGGAAGTTTACTTTATATAAAAAAAAAATACATCGTGTTGGTATTATCTGTTTACCCAAGACTCGATGTTTTAACGATTAAAAAACAGTTAGCTTATCGTTAGTATTTAATATTGATTTTATATCAATTCCAAAAAAAAGAGAAAATACTCCACACAATGATGTTTTAAATAATGGGTTGTATTCTTTTTCTGGTTGTGTTTATTTTACGATTTAAAAGAAATAATAATTTTGAAATAATAAAAAAAAAGGGTCATTGAACATCTTGATAGTAATTAACAAAAAAAAAAAAAAAATGTAATAAAAAGCAATTTCAGTTCAACATCTGCTAAAAGCCTAGTCATTTTTTGTCGTTCTTTTCTCGTAACAGCTGCCAGGCTTTAATTCCTTCTGATGGTCCTTTTAAATTCAATTTCCTCGAGGTTTTTAATCTTATACCTGGGATCAAAGTTCACAGAACCGTATAAGGTCGAATGGTCCAGAGGCGGTGAAGTGGTTTTGCTTTTCAGAAAGTCAAATAAACTTAAAAAGCTTGTGTTGAAGTGTTCAGATAAACAATATATTCTATTCAGTTTTATTTTTATTGATTTTAATGTCATAAAATGTTCGCAAATTATGATTAAGAAAAAAATTTTAAGAATATACTTACGATAATAATAATAATATCAGATTTTTTTTAAATACGAGAAACAATCAAGATACAGATTACAAAAGTCTTAATGATTTTACTTAGCAAAAAGTATTAAAAAAAAAAAAAAAATTTAATATTTTGTGTGGAAAATATTTTTAATGTCGCAATTGCGCTGACATGAAATATTACCTGCTCCCTTAGGATAAAGTATATGACATATTTTTTTAAGACGTACAAAAAAAAAGAGAGAGAAATAAAAATGTCAATAAAGATGAATGCTCGTATACATATATCTTAATTCATAAATCTAATATTAATATGCAAGAAGCGAAATGGGTTATACTGTATGATTCTGAGAAGGCTCAACCTGTTAGGATATTGATGATTTAATGAATTGCATTTTAAGAGCTATACGAAAATTATTAAACAATTTCAAAATGAATACGTAAAAAAATTATTTAAAAAAATATTGTAACATATTTTTTTAAATAATAACTAAGATTTTAATTATAAACAATTTTAATTTATAAAACTATTAAAATTCGAAATATATCTATTCTGATATAGTTTATTTGATCTGTTGTTTTTTTGTTACTCTTTTTTTATATACTTATAACACCATTATGAGACAAATTGTCATAAAAAAAATTGCAAATGCGAAATACAATTTCTTGAAATTCAATATTTATACAAATTATATTATACTTATAATGACATTGCGCTAATTATAATTACTATAGGGGAAAGCTTTGAAGTTCATAGAAGTAAATTATTTTCTCTCAGAATGTATTTATCTCCTTCTGATAACTAGTAGGGAAAGACAACCGACATAATATATAATTATTTACCATTTAGTTCGATCTTTTCTATGGTGACAGTATTCGTAAACGTTAACGTTCGCGACTATTTTTTTTTTTTTTTTTTTCTAAAAACCATTCATTTCTATCGTAAACACCTTTTTCCTAAGTAAGCAATTAGCAGAGAGTTTCTCCGTCAATTAATTACGAAATTCAAAGAAAAAAAAAAGAACTCGAATTACCTTATTCCAATTTTTTTTTTTAAAATGCTTTGAATCAGTAGAAAAAAGTGAATAAGAAAATTTCTATTTACTGGAATTTATAAATTGAACTATTTTCTATTTTGTTAAATAATTACGTGTTCGAATTGTAGATTATATATAAAAAAAATGTATTTGATTCAAATAATCGGTTACTTGATTATTATTATCAAATAATTATTTATTTGTGTTAAATAAATATTT